TAGCTCTTGATTGTATCATTTCCTACAAATCAAATGATGTTCTCGCTCTACAAATCTTTCGTGAACCTAATCGCGAGGATAAGGCATTGTTCACAGTCTGCGACCCTGACGAAACGGCGGTTGGGCGAAAAGCAAAAAATACGGATTGATCGGAGAATCGCCAACCGCTAGTTTCGCCGAACCGCCGCGGTTCGGCGGTTGGGCGAAAAGCAATAGATGCGTATCGATTTCGCTGGCGAAAAACGCCAGGGCGGTCGAGCTAGCGTTTCGCGAAGCGAAAAACGTCGCGGTTCGGCGAAGCGCCCGTCGATTCCTATCGAAACCCCTTTCACCCAATCGCCAATCGATACGTATCGAAAGCTTTCGCCGAGGCGTTTCTTTTGAGAGAAACGCGGGCCGCAGACTGTGAACAATGCCTAATCAACTGCCCGGATGGCGACCTTACATCGAAAGTGCACTGTTCCAAGAGGATGATATCAAAACCATAACGTCAGTCGGTCACTAAAACGGTACCGTGATGCCAGCAGGTTCCTTTTTTTCTCCCCTCCCCTCTTTATCGCCGTGAAGCAATTAGCGGGCAGGAACTAAGCACACTGACAAAGCAATAGAGTGGTGGTGATTACACGAAGTGATACTATCCACGGACCATACAGCTTTATAATTACCATAGGAATTCTAACAACATCCACAGACTTTCGATCAGTCAGATCTATGAAATGATTTTTTTCCAGACACCGTGGAATAAACTTCTTTTTGCCGGCCTTCTCTGTCCTATGGCTAGCGGAGGAAGACGTGGGCCAGGATAAACTGATTGCGGATCTGGTTGTGTGTTTCCATTTTCTGTTCCATGACTTACTCAGTGCTTTCGACACTCGAATACTTCTCTACTCTTTTTTTCCAGAGTGGCGTCATTGAGGAGGACATTCCTCACATAGAAATGATACTGGAGGATGGTGTACTCGTTCCTGACTCTGAAAGTCGTGATAGCGAGTAAGTCAAAACTACAGTTAAAGCACATCTGTTTCTATGACTGAAGGCTGTCCAAATAAACACTTTCACAGAAACCTCGCGTTCATTAGAAGATTACTTTCGAGATCAAGCCTTTGTTCGGTCACTCTCATACACTTAGTGTATCTCTCTGCCTTCTCCCAATCTCCAGATAACTGAGCTAAGGTCCCTTCAAAATCTCATCATTGAGGGCTGACTTTCGCGATGTCCTGCCCTATAGTGTTGCTGAATTTCACCCCATATACTGTTCACGACTTTGCTGAAAAGACTTGACGCAGTTCGGCTCGGTGGGTGCACTTTGCTGGTTCCCATCAATCACTGCCGATGCCTCCTGTGGGGACTGTAAGCTCCTATAAAGCTCCGCAATAATGAACTCGTTTACAGTAGAGAAGCGTCTATCGATCTCACCAAAATGAGAAGTGTAATCCATCACAATCTAGCAATGGAAACTAGCGAAAGTGGAAAATGTCCTACGCCCCCCCCCTATCCGAACAGCGTCGGAGGTCTTTCAAATGAACCGTTCTAGACATCTCCCCGTCACTTCCTTATCATATATTACACGCGAAAATATTTCCATTACAGATCGCCTCCAGATCCCCTGAAACAGCTGATTCGTTGGCTTCCGCAACGTGCAGTTACGAGCGAGTGTGGAGAGCCAGGGCGTGCAAAACATTCACGACGACTAATGCTGTTTCAGATTTCAAGCTTTGAAATTCAAAATTTTGAAAAAACTATTCAACAGCACGATTTTCTGAGTTTCTCGCAAAGGATTTCAACAACAAACAATTTTCACCTGTTCTTTAGAATGTTTTTAAGTTCACCATTTCCAGCTACATTCGTTTGCCGTACTATGTCGCCAGTCTTCACCCATCCGAGGAGCGAAGATGGCGATCGACGATGAGGAATTTGATCAACGCTGGGTAAGTCTATTTGATCGTTTATCACGTTCATCACCGCATCATTCTGTGATAAATAAAAATGAAGGGTTGATAGTCTCCGTCGCACTCATTATTTCTTTTTGGAGTGCGAATGTTGCCTTCACTGCTCAAAAAACCACAAGGCTAATAATGAGTCAAACAGTGGCCGTACAATGGACTTGCTGGTCTTCAGTGTATGGCGCGGAAATCAGTGTATTTATGCTCCCCATCCAGATCTGGTAACAGTTCACCGTTCCCGAAGAGTGTGAGTGTCCTAGGTGGGAGCCTTAGCGGGATTCGAATTCCGGGCCGCGTGGGTGGTGGACGGGCCACTTGTCTCTACATCATCTGAGCCTATCATAGACGCTCTTCTGCAAGGGTTAGTCAGGGTTCTGATTGTTCGACTGCACCTAACTCTCGATAGTTGTGGTAGGGCGTTTCTGACGTCAACCGTTCTGGGGGCTGCCACGGCTGCGTTGCCTTCAGCTACAAAGCTCAGTTTAGACAATTGGTATCTTTTCATCATCTCTTTGCGGCGCTTCACTATTATATACAGCACATGCTGACAGCGTCTTTGCTCACTATTCCGTCTGGACTCGCCAGCATGTGTGTCACAGGATAATCCCTTCACTGAACTTTTTTCAGGGATGGCCTGCGGGGTCAAGATAATCCCTTCACTGAACGTTTTTCAGAGGGAATGGCTCCGGCGGGTGAATGGAGCCACTTAAATATTTTCATGGAGTCCGTTCATGAGCGCTGGTCATGAGAATGTGGGGTATCTTGACAAGGCAACAAAATCGGGCGCGTTCTGATGGGGTGCGCAGCGACGTCGACGCCTTCCTCTGCTGTGGTAAATTTCTATTGTTTCAGATTGGAACAGCATGGCCGATGTTGCCAATAAATAACATAGGGTGTTGAATGTCTTACCGGGCTTTGCTTCGTAGCTGTCTTGAAAGCCAGTGCCTTCAATTTGCCAGTCTGCAATGACAGCCGTATGGACGGCTGGCCATTCCGCGCGACGGAGCGGCACATTCACGATTGTCTTGACCGCTTCCCATAGAATGTTATGCAGAACTGACAGCGCAGAGAAATAAAGAAACTTAGCGCGAGTAAAAGCACAGAGTTCAATTATCTGCGCTTGAGGTCTGCGGGATTGCCTCCGCATTTGAAGATAAGCCCGTGCGCAATTAACGGTGGGAAGGGGAACACACCGGATGCTGGGACATAATCGTAGCTAATGACGCAGCTTGTCACGTCGTGACTTAGATTGCTTGAGCGGTCTTCTCAGGGCCAACCGGGCCTGCCACTCATTTGCGTCTGTAAATTGATGCTAACTTGTGGGTGGATGTGAATTTCCCACTGTATATGAAAAGATTTCCGCTAGTCATTGTATAGGCCAGTCATATCAAAGATGCAGTTGCGACTGTGGAATTGAGTGGAGTGCGTAGAGCCTCATAATAAAGGGCAAAAAACTTTTTTCTCCTTCAATGTTTTGGAGCTGACCGTTATGTACTGTTGTGATTCCAGCAAAAAGAAGAACAATCGCAAGCGCTCCGTGCTGAGCAAGGTGTGTTGGCGGATCGAGGTGCTGCTATCATGTGTCTTATGTATCTTTCGGCAAGTAATGGCGAACCTAACGACATGGTCGCTCGAACCCTCGAACTTGGTATCCATCTGCTCTCTGGCGGAAATGTTGACATTCAACAGGTATGTGCATCTGCTGTCACCATTCTAGATACACAAGTATGCCGACTTAGGAGCAAGAGTCTTGACCCCAGGCGAATTGCTTCATCTGTTCCGGGCGCTATAAGTTATGCCACCAGGGCCGCTCTTACCCTCTGAGCTTGAAGACTTTTCTAAACTCTCTAACCCTCTGAGCTTGGAGACTTTTTTAAACTAATCAGCATTGTAGTGTTACCTTCCGAAGCGCGAACTGCGGTGTTTCATACCAAAACAAGATCTCAAGATAACTTTGTAAGCAATACATAGGTGCTGCAACAGTGCTGGCCCACGCCCTCCCCCCCCCCCACCTTCTCCTAGTCACTTCCTCCCGCCAAAGAGGATCGTTGAGAATAATAAGGAAACTAGTGCACTGTTTCAGCCTTGAACATTCAGGTCGTATTTGCGCATTCCAGTTAAAGCTCCCGTCCTTCTAAAATTTTGTGCTACAATCTGGAAGAGTAATGACATGGAGTATGACATCGTTAGAGGGGCACTTAGGGACACAATCAGCAGGTCCTATGCAGCTCAAAATAAAATTACCAGTAAAGAAAGCAAAGCAGCGCTCCAAATAAGGTACTCCTTTCTGCGCTTCCATTAGGCCAGTACACGATGAAGCAGAGGCAACGATGAAGCAGGCGAAGTTTCCTTGCACATGAGGGGCTATTCAAATGCGGAGCATGTGCGTACACCAAGTGGCCCGGAATGATAGAGGACAAAAACACCGGGATAGGCTGACAATGCGTGTCAGTGCGAACCCCCCCCCCAAAACTTATACCCTTCCAGTGCGGCACAAGTTCCGCATTCCACTTGCGATCCTCTCAAGTTCTCCCGAACTCCCACCGATTTCTTTTTGTCTTCCGAAAATTTTTCATTTTCCACAAAAAAAAACTGGCGTCAGGCGGCAAGAAGTGGAAGGGTTCGTCACCAGTCTGCTACCCAAAACCATTTGTAGTAGTTGTAAAGTAATTCTGTCGCTAACTAGGAGACTGGATACGACTTCCTCTCCCCAGAGGCCATGTACGACCGTGCATCTCCCTCCCCACTATCCCCCCCTCCTCCCGGATGGGGTTATCTCAACGCAATGCTGCACCCTGCCTCTGAAGAAAGGCTGTCAAACCTGGGACAGGGACTTCAAGCGTCCTTACCACGTGCTTTCAAGCGGAGCTACTCTGTGCGGCTGCGGACCTGCTCATCGTGCAATCAGAAGGGATTCTATCACGTACTTGTGGATTCTGTCCTCCAGGTACTAAAGCAGCAATCCTTATGCGTTGGCCTACTAAATGACTTCGAATGAATATTAAATGCATGACCATGCAATGAGATTGATCTGTTACCTTATTCCATGCCCTTCTGCTTCTGCGGGGGCATAACATTGCCGCAGTATGGGATCTACATTCTCTTATCTACAAACATCTTTCACAGTACCTTATGTCTTGCATCAGATGCTGATCGAATACCTTCAACTCAAAAAGGATGTACGTTTCTTCACTTCAATGGCCGGTCTTATGTGCAAGTGTTCGGTTCTGAACCTGGAGATGTTTGAGCGACAAATTAAGGTATATCTATGTACTTTGTGGTCTATTATACAGAATTTCGATGTTTACCCTAGGTTTTTGTTTTATTACGTCCTCGCTACCTATAAGCGATACAGGCACAGAAGATCTATTTCCGAAATGAAGGGGCAAAGTAATATTTGCATTAGCAACTTTTCTAGGCGGAAGGTCTTGGTATGGGAAGAAGGAGCTAGCCTACTGGAAGCGTACATCAGAATCTGTAATTGACGACCTGAATTTCACAGTGTCGCTATGAACCGATTTTATGCAACTGACCTGTAAACCGGTCACAATCTTTAGGCAAGTTACTTGAGGATGTTTTATGTTTTCTTATTGTACCAATGAGCTTAATGTATAGGCTGGAACGAGTGAAGTGCCTTATGATCCTCGAGAAGACTGAAAGCGAATTAAATTTACAGATTTCCGAAAATTATCTCTCGTAACGCAACGCGGTCATACAACAACTGTGTTAATCTCATCAAAGAGCCACCGTTCGTCCATATGGGTATTCCCTTCAGTCTTCAAGAAATTCCCGTTATGGATTTATTAATCTTGGCACTACTCCGCAAGGTATATTAGACTGCCCCTCAAGCAAACTTGTTCGAACTACTGGTGCGGAGAAAGTTAACCCACTTTCACACTTCAGTTAATTTCATGGTGGCCGTATCTCAGTCCGTAAATGCCTAACACTGCATCCAGAAGGGCAGCGGCATGGATCCTGGTTGAATTGAATTGACGCTAGAAAGATATCATTTGAATTTTGCCAGAAAAGGAATGCAGCCGGCTGATGGGAGGGGGGGGGGGGCGTGAGAACAACTGAAAAAAGCTTCTGTATTCAAAAATAACATATACCGCCCTAATTTTTGGAAAAAAGGCGGATTAATCCGCCGGAAACCGCCGCAAACCGCCGCAAAGCGCCGCACTGCTATAACACCTTTCAAAAGAGCTCAAAATAAAGAAAAATGCCAGGATCTGTCTCAGATTCAGCTCCTACGCGGCCGAATCCAGCAGGTAGTGATACCGCAATGAAATTCTTCTTGGCAAACGAAACATGGAAAAAAACGCAGTCGCGTTTTTTCCCGCTTCGGCTCTTTTTTGTTATACTCGATGTATGTGTGAGCCTAATTTCTTGTATAGGACCTATACTGCTGGACTCAGCCGTCGAAGTTTCCTATAGGAGCTGGCATCTTAAAAAACTGAAAGCGAAAAAACTGACTGTGCTTCCTATCGAAGTACCTGAGGACACTCGTTAGCGAGCGAGTCTCGCTATAATTGTAACCAGAGGGCAAACGTTGGGAATTAAATCAGTGTGAGATCAAATAATGTACTGCATCGCGTGAGAAGTGATCGAAAACTAGATAGTTGTGTTTCCCAAACGCCTGTTCTGCATCATATTTGGTGTCCATATTTGGGCCGAAAATTGAGGGCTTTCGCTCGATCTCACTTCCGGACGATATAGCCTTTTCAGTCCGGAAAATCTCGAGCTGTGGCTTAGTTCGGACCACTTGAGCACAAGTGCTATGTACTGCATCCTACTTCCTTGATGTTCGCGACTTCCAAGAATGGAGTCAAAAAGAGGGGTTTTTTTCAACACTTGAAATGAGCACTTCGTGCGACACTAGAACAATTGCTCGATTTCAGCGTTTCACGACAGGGTTTAACCAGCCGCTCTCAGTGGACATCTACGAGTTCCATAAGGGAGCTTCTATACAGAAACCCTCGTGCTTTTAGACAAACTTAGAGGAAAAGTTAGCGGCATATTTTTTCAGCTGCAGAGTGTTATCGGGATGCCAACTCAAGATCCATTTCAAAGAAAACTCACAGATTTTTGCATATGGAGAAAATTCCAGTCTACAAGTTACACCAATTCGAATCCACATGGAAAAAAGTGTAAGCTATTCATTCATATGAAAATCCAACCTCGTCGGAACCTTTCTACAACCTTTACCCGTTCCTTTACCACCGGACTACTCTGCCCTGTCTACGCGGTCACGTCGACACTCCTAAGTAATGTCCCACCACGAGTCTGCACAGAGCAAACTGCAATCAGATCAATACCTAGATAATTTGCAAACTTGACCCAACGTGGTCTCTCTTCTGATCAACTATTTCGCAAATGTTTTGTGAGGACTGCCCCTAGATATGTTCTCTTAATTCAAATTCCGACAAGTTATTCATTCAAAATTTCAAAAAATTCGTATTTCGCAATCCCAAGCTTCTCATTCATGAATCAATAATTCGTTGTTCCTAGTAATCTTCCATGACTCACACCATGAGAGTTACTGTGAATCGATCCAAGCTAATTATTCGTATCTGAATGGCAATCGAATGGATTTCACGATGTGACAGAATTATCAACTTCGCTCACCTGTTTTTAGGTCGGGTATCTAAATGAGTTTTCGTCACTTGCAAGTCTATACTGGATTTTATCTAAATAGTTCCTAACATAATCCTGGCCCGGTACTTACCGTTCCTATACCACACACAAACTTACTATGTTAGTACCTTACCCATTACTGTTGATACCTTACCGAAACCTCAGCGATCCCGCTGTCGACCTCGGCGGTACGATCCAGCTAATCACCTTAGGACCTTTTTCGCCTACATAAATTCAAGTGACTTACAAGCCGAATAGTGCTTCCGACGATTTTACAAACTTGTCTTTGAATGAATTAGGATCCTACATGCGAGCTTAGTCAAGTCGAAATATGCGAAGTCGAAAAGCTCGAAAAGCCTTAATCAAGTATTCTACGAAATTGTATTGCTAATGATTCTATCGAGTTCAGCAGGATGACATTTCGGACACAGGATTTCAAACTCTTTCAGTGCCAAAGCTTTTATAACAGAAATGAAACTCGCTTGACAGCTAGATTAGAACGTCAGATAAAATTCTGCCCTGCATTCCTTTATAGATCACCAAGGTTTATGGATGAATGAATGATAACTCAGTGGAAGAGCTTGATGGTTCGAAATAACGAGAAATGTTTTGACAATTTCTCGATGAAAACGTCCGAATTTGAAATAATCGAGAAACATTATCTAGCGGCAGTTCCTCACAAAACACTTGGCCGAAATAGTGACAGAAGAGACCACGCATTGCAGTCAATGAAATTACTAGAGGATTCGATCGCATGCAGTTGCTCTGAACACTCTGAGATGGCGATAATTACTTAGGAAGGTCGAAATTTTAGACCCGCTAACAGGACAGATAGGCCGCTGAAACCCCCTGAAACGGGAAAGGTGTAGAAAGTTTCCACGGAGTGTTTCATTATTGAATGAAAATAGCATTTTCCCATTGGGGATTCGAACAATGGTCGTGAAACACTTTAGATTGGGATTTTCTCCATATGAAAAACATGTGAAATTTGCTTTGAAATGGTCTTGAAGTTGGCACCCGATAACAACTGCCAGCCTAAAATATGCCGCTACTTTCCCCTAAGTTGTCTGAAAGCACAGGGCGTACTGTATAAAGCTCCCTTATGGAACTCGTAGAGCCACTCAGAGCGCTGGAAAAACCCTGGATTCGGCAAAACGCTAGAAAGATTCGAGCAAAATGTGTTCTAGTATCGCCACGAAGTGCTCATTGAATCAAGTGTTGAAAAAACCCTCTTTTTGACTCCCATTCCTTGGAAAGTCGCGGATACATTAAAAAAAAATAGGGATCATACATAGGCCACGTTTGTGCTCAAGTGGTTCGAAACTAGACCACAGCTCGAGATTTTCCGGACTGAAAAGGCTATATCGTCCGGAAGTGAGATCGAGCGAAACCCCTCAATTTTCGGGAAAATGGGCACCAAAATGATCAGCAGCATTTGGGAAACACAACTATCTAGTTTTCGATCACTTCTCGCCGCGATGCAGTTACATTATTTTAGCTCACACTTTGATCTTATTCCCACGGTTTGCCTCTGGTTTACAATTATAGCGAGACTCGCTCGCTAACGAGTGTCCTCAGGTACTTCGATAGGAAGCACAGTTCAATTTTCGACTTTTTCAGTTTTTTAGGATGCCAGCTTATAGAACTCGACGAGCTGAGTCTAGCAGTATAGGGTTCTATACAAGAAAGGTTCACACAAATCGAGTTATAACAAAAAAAGGCTAGTAAAGCGGAAAGAACGCTGGATCGTGCCGTTTTTTGCCATTTCTTTCCAAGAGGATTTTAGCGGGTATCATACCGGTCATGGATTCGCACAGCAGTAGAGCTGAATCATAACGAGTACTGCCTGGCTAATTTCATTTGAGCTCTTAGTTCGAGAGGAGTTTAATAGCAAGCGCGGCGCTTTGCGGCGGTAGTTGCGGCGGTTTTCCGGCGGATTAATTCCGCCTTCTTTTCCAAAATTAGGGGCCGGTATGTGCTACCTATACCTCCACTCTAGCAACCAGTATCACCCCTCCTCCCCCTACTACCCGTAATAACTCGATTTGGGGATCCCCAACGTAAGCGCCCTGCATGTGGCCTGCACCTGCTGCAAACAAACCTTCCGAGATGTCATACCTTAGTGCCGGGAGACGTTCGAGTTTTGTCAGTACGCCTTCTTTGGAAGTATGTATGCGCAGCATTGCTCCTGTCCCCCATTTACTGACACCTTCTTAGAAACGTGGACCCATCTCTCTCAGAAGAACGCTGTCCGCTAAACAAACAGCTTATCAGACACTTATTTGGGTGGCAGGATAAGTGAGGCGAGCCACGCGCCAAGGCTTACTGTTAGGTTCGGTAGAGCACAGACGACGAGAATCGCGCGCGGCATAGTCTCATATACGAATCTCCCGCCGCTGCGCGGATCTGATGAACTACTTAGCACCATTATTTGATTGGTTAGTACAAAATCGTGATATTTTTCAGGAAGTAATTGATGAAGGAGGAAAGGAGTACTTCTTGCGAGCGATACAAGTATGCAGTCAAGTATTCAACACGCTCACTGAGAGCATCCAGGTAATCGCTAGCGCTACTGACATAGTTTTTTTTTTGGAAATGAAGCAATGGAGAAATCGACTAGGGCTGCAAAGGGTTTTTCAAAGGGCCGGACAGGAAAGCTTTGCTTGCTGAGATATTTCACATTATGGGAGGAGAATGCGTGCCGCATCCCTAAAAATGGGTTGATCAGTGACAAGTACTATCTTTTCTTATATCTTCAGGGACCATGCGTTGGTAACCAGATGACGCTGGCAAATTCACGTCTCTGGGATGCCATCAATGGTTTCTTCTTCCTTTTCGCCCACATGATGGAGAAATTGTACAAGAACTCTACTCAGCTTGAATTGCTTCGTGAATTTTTGAATCTCCAAAAGGATATGATTGTTCTGATGCTCTCTATGCTCGAAGGTACTGCACCGTATATTTCTGGATCAAGTGTACCCCGAGACGTAAATACCTTCTCAGGAAACGTTCTCAATGGACCAATCGGAAAGCAAATGGTCGACGCGTTGGTCGAATCACAACCGTCTGTGGAGAAAATTCTCAAATTCTCGGATATGTTCTTGAAGTTAAAGGACCTAACAACGTCACAAGCATTCCAGGTGAGTGAAAACCTAAAAAAGGATAGTGGGAGCTTCTTCACCTCGTTGAGTCGGGTTGTCCTGATCCTTGACATGGTTGAACAGCAACGCGTGTCCGATTGGGAGTTAGTGGGATGCAAGACAATGGTTGAAGTGTAAATGTAATACATGGGGCTACGTGGTTCCAGCATTCGCTAAACGCGCGCTACCTATGAGCTAACAACTCAGTTCAGGGTGAGTGCGCTCTAGCATTCGCTAGTGCCACTAACTTTTGCGACCCGCTACCCTCCTCCGCGCCCCCAAATATTCACTTACAATTTTCTCTATGGCACTATAGCCAGACCGTGTCTGCGGTCCTGTGGAATCTGAAAACTCTGTGTAAGTTCATAACCGTAAGAAGATGTTGTCTACTTGTATTCGTTATTCTAGGACTTCGACACAAATCGAGACGGCTGGATCAGTCCAAAGGAATTCCAGAGGGCTATGGAAAGTCAGAAGATGTACACAGTGTGAGTTTACAGAAACAACTCTTAAACGAACTGTCAGAGACCTAGGTTAGACTACTCAAAGCCGATTTCCGCGGAAACAACTTTCAAACGAACTGTAGAGACCTAGGTTAGACTAACTCAAAGCCGATTTCCGCGATGAATGATTCGTGTAAGGTTTCCGTACTCTTGACAGCCAGGCTAGTTTAACCTTTTCAGGCTACAAGACGATGACGACTTACACCGCTAGTTACCGCGCGTGCTTCCTATAGCGTCATCAGCGCTTTGCCTAGAGACGAGTGCGCCCATGCCGTCGTCCTACCCACTCATTTTGATTCACCCCACCCACTGCTGCACTACCCTTCTAGCAACACATTATCCCGCAATAAGAAGGTAATCAACAGAGACATGGCTGTCAAGTAAGAAACCAAATGGGATGAATACGCGGCTGTTATGTTAACCACGGTGCCAGTGTCAAGCGATTTCGTCCGATCACACTCTCTCTATCTTCACTGTCATGTCGTATAAAGTCGCTCCTAAGAAATCTTATTCGAAGCATTAGGCAGTTTTTCTCTTGCAAACCACCCCCCCCCATACGATTCCGATCGCCAGAGCTTTTCCTAGAAGGAGCATTAAAAGCACATCCCTCGGCTTATGATAAGCGGTGCCGCTTCACAATCGCAGCTTGGAGACGAATCTCGCTTAGATATTCTCCAGATTATGCCAGCCGGTCGACTCCAATCAGGTCGTCCTCTAGAATGAAACGCCTACATCGGGGCCGGCTTTCCCTCCGCGGGCCAATATTATGGTGAAATATGTGTTTCCATTGCATTGTGAAGTCCTGCAAGTAAAAGTGGCGTTCCTCTAAGCATTGTGTACTGATCATTGCCGAGTACAATACTCTTAATCCTTTCTTTATCCATCATTACAGGGAGGACATCACATATCTGATGATGTGCACTGATGTGAACAACGACGGCAAAGTGGACTACATGGAGTTCACGGAAAGATTCCACAACCCGGCTCGAGATATTGGTTTCAACTTGGCTGTTCTGCTAACAAATCTCAAGGAACACATCACTAACGACCCACGATTGGAGAAAATTATTGAGAAGGTAGTTGAAGATGAAAGATTTGTGCCCGAACCAGCTGATACGCTAAAGTTTGGCAATTCCTCTCAGGGGGTTTTCCAACAGGAGTTGAAGGGGGGGCGGGTGCACTTCGCACCTTTTACTGCTACCGATCGAAGGGATCGAATCCATCTAGAGAGCTGGTTTCATGAACTTACAAAGGTTGACAGGTTTTTTTATTCATGGTCCGGCTCGAGAGGCTTGTCAGCTTCTCAAGAGTTTACAGGAGTGAGACTTCGTAAACCGGAACTAGCGAGGCAGCGCATAGGCGAAATGCCTCCCACCTTACCCCCCCCCCGTCGTCGACGTGCCCCTTCCCCTTTTTCAACAGACATTACTACCAACGAAATGTGTGAAGTGGAAGGAGGATGTCTACCCAAACGCTAAGCTTATCAACTGCACATCAAAACAAATGAGATCTTGCGCAGAATTAGTACGAATAACTCAGAGTGTATGACATCAGGAAAGCGAAAACCTTCTAGGGGAATGAGTAGGGTCAGTTAGTAGTCAAGTCAGTTATGTTCCATTCCAGGCACAAACCTTACTGGAGTACTTCGATCCTTTCCTGGGACGGATTGAAATCATGGGTTCAAGCAAACGTGTCGAAAAGATCTACTTCGAGATTCAAGAATCTTGGTTGGAACAGTGGGGAAAACAGCAAATTCGGTGCGTTCTAAGCCATCACAAAATACAAAAATCAAGTGTTTTTGACGTGGCAGTCATATCTCAAGTTTCCTCGGCTCACATTATTCGTGATACGAATTTTGTTTTATCGTTTCTGAAAATTCATGAATTCTCATATTCAGTGACTCAAAGAACTCGTTCCTGTTCAACGTACTGCAAGATGATGGCGGAGATCAAGGCAAACTAGAGGCGTTCATTAATTTCTGCGAGGTACGATTGCTTTGTTTGTATTATTATGCTCCAAAAGGCAAAGAAAAATATAGTGTAAGAATCTCTCCTATGTCACTTCAGGACACTATTTTCGAAATGCAACACGCAGCAGAGATCTCGTCTGGTGACACAGATTCAAAGATGGAACGTGCAATGAAACAACGGGATTACTTCCTGCAGCAGAGCAGTGCTGGAGAGTAAGTTTAGAGCTCCTCTTTTTTAGGGTGCAAAGGGTATACAAGGGGGGGGGGGTGGAGCAAAAAAAGTCACATATCAGCAAAGTTTTCGCAGCCCAGACAGAGGACGTGGATACGAGTACCAGGCGGAAGATACCCAAGATGTTCCTCGATAAGCAGGGGCAGGTTCTCGCAACTGGAGAAGGCCTATGGAACTCACGTCACCTCCAAACAGCTGCGAATTTTGTATGGAGCCACCCATGGACAGCTAACTGGAGATCGGCACTCTTGATCTATAAGACCTTCAACATGGAGCAGCTCCGACAACGTCGCTACGGTCCAGGATGTCATCTTCACCGCAGTCGCCAGGGCGCGGGTTGATGTATAGACCAGAAGTAACCTGGAATGGAGAGACCGATATTGTCTTCGCGTGACCGCCTGAACTGAAAGTGAACGCTGGTTGCGTTACTCACCAACTCGAGAAGAATGTGCTCCTTTTCAATGTCGCGCCCGCCACATCTTGGAAACTTCTCTAGCTACAGGTCGAGTGCCACCACATGGAATGGGGCGCTGGAAAAACTCTCGCCTACATGGAATGGAAGGGCGTTGAGTTCCTGAAGAAGTTGGAATATCTAAGTGTGTCACCTGACCTAACCCCCTCCCCTCAATTACCCGGTCCCGGCCGGAGCTCAACAGGGTGGTCTACAGTGGCGGAGAATTCAACGACCTCGCTGAACTCAGGCACCGAATCAGGGCTGCCTGGCAGAACCTCTCGATGGCGCTCGTCCAGAAGGTTGTGGCGGAGTATCATGATAGTGTACAATGTGCTGTTGAATATGGTGGTGGAAATGTCCAATCAGGATTCCAATAATGTGTAATTTATATCGCCTTTGAAGGTCGAGGAACAAAGTGTCTTTTTAGGCCCACCCTGTAAGATGTAACTGGGCAGGTCGCAGGTATATAGTCGTTTCCGTTTCCGCTGGGGCCTGTCAGCGGAATGGGTTTGGCGCGGCGCTAGCCCCTTCTCCACCATTTGTTGAAGCGGGCAAATGACAAAAAGGTGGTATACGAGTTGGCGCCGCGCCAAACCCAGCCCCCTGACAAGCTCCAGCAATACTGCTGAGGGCATTTATAAATTCGCTTTCAAAAATTATCTGGTTCGCAATCTCAGCTTCTTATTCGTATGCTGAGTTATTCCCACAGATTTACGAGTTTTTTCCTACAAATTTTTTGCTTTAGGTTTTTCTGTTTGCTACTGAATTATTATTTCAGACAAATCTCGCAAACATTCAAGAGTGGATATAAATACGGTGTGAACGCAGCGTCAGCCCTTAAGCCGGAAAATGTTAAGCAGACTTTCAAGAGGATCAGTGGTCAAGTACGGTAAGTACTAGCTTCACTGTTTTATTACCCATACTTGTGCAGGGGCTTGGATGGGGGATTATTTTCCATCATCCCATTTAGCTGCTTGTTGAACGAGGTATCTCCTGAGAACGTACCCATTCTGATTCACGAATACAGTGTGGAAATACAGTATGTGGTGACTGCGCACTTCATCACGTGACGTATGATGCGTTTCTCGTGAGGTATTCCCATTTGAGACGACTATCATCCTGCCGAGTGCCCATGACTGTCAATAGCCTGGTTTTTGGGCGGTGTGGGAGATACCTTGTGGGAAAGGACGGGTGCGGCAATCAATAGTTCCGAAAGAAGGTAGTGAACCTCCAAAGGCAAAAGAACAAACGGAGGTGAGAAGGTGCCAGTTATACCGAAAATCCCGTCGCGACCCTAGTTTTGTGGTAGGCAAAAGAGACAAATCGTAGATGCGTCCCGTTCCAGGGGCACGTCTGGCGTTAGGTAGCGTTCTAAAGAGGAATTCCGCACGACCGAGTTTTTTCTCAGCACGATCGCTTTACTGAACATCTCGGGAAATTCGCCGTTGATTGGGAGTATGGACGCCTACGTTCAACTAATGAGCTACTAGAGCCAGATCACCTCGCATGTTAACTTCTGAGCTAGTTTCCCAGTCTCCCTCAACGGAGGTTTTTTTGGAAAATATGGGACTCTGGGGAGAAAAAACTCCGTAAGAGTGTGGGAAGTTGGAAATTTTCGGGAAGCGGTAGATGGTTGGGAAGGGGAGGGCGTTGCAAGAGCGAATTCGTAAGAGGGGAGGTCGCGATTTCCAAAAACTTTTCCCAACGGCAGGACCTGCCCTGATTAGAAAATCGCGGTTCTGCAGCACCGACAGCCAGGATTATATGGCCGTAAAAGGCCAAAAATCAACAATTGCAAGACACCTCTCATGTCAGATACGATCCCCTCCCGTTGACGACCAAGTATGGATTCCGGATTGCTTACATACGACGTGCTCTGATTACTCCCTTGGACATGTCTGTTCTTTCTCTTCACTACCCCACAATATTGTCAGCTCATTCAGTCATTTCATTTACATAGTGAATGGCTGGGATGTAGTGGGTTCGTGCGAGTGAACAAGGACAGCGCGTTTCGCGTAATGGACCCGAAAGCCCAAATAGCAGAGCATTTCAGCCCGCAATGCCTCCTTTCAAGGTAACCCAGCTGTTTTGAGCATTTCCTAAATTAGACGCATTTCAGTCAAATGACATGGATGCAACTACTCTGGGCGATTACTCTGATACTATTCCAATGCGCAAAAACGCTTGGTTATGGTGCCTACCTGCTTCTGATGACGTTGTTCCGTTTCGCTTACTTCCTCACCCTACCCGATCGAGCAGAAGAACCGGAGAAGCCGAACAAGTGAGTCGTTTGTCCATTACTTATCTATTACTCCTCTTTAGGACTGAGTACTGTTTTTCAGAAGTTCGTCCTCCCCTCTGTATTCTAATCAACCGATACTGCCTGAGTTCCATCACACACACGTTGGAGTGGATGCGTTTGGTTTAGCCGCCGAGCAGCTGCCTACAGCGAACAATTACTCAGAGATTCCACAAGTGGTCACTGATGACTATACACCTCCCGATGATACAACGACATCCGCCAACAAGACTCCGCCAAATTTGCCGACTCCACCGCCAAGTATACCGAAGGCGCCAAGGTTAGGGAACTTTTTGGTTTACTTTTCAAGTTAGGTTTTGGGCTTATTTCGATATTCTAATCTCTCTCTACAAGTCGATTCTCCTGAAGAGAGTATGAATCTCTCCTGAGAATAATATAATTTGACATCTTCTTTAGGGGCATTTACTTTGCTCGAATCTTTTCAAATCCTAATCTGCGAGGCACACCGATAGTCTCTAGCTGAGCCACCTATTCGATAAATGTCCGTCAAAACTCCTTGTTGCCAGTGATTCTTTGCATGTGATTTCATCCGAAGAATACCATTTTCCGGCATTCGAAGGGGAGTGTCCACGGTCTTGGCCTTGAGCACGGCGGCGGTAGACAGTTGTCGGCCCAAGTGTGAGACGCATCGACGTTTTTTTGTGCCTTTTGTGCTCATGCATATGCTACAGCCGTTATATCTGAAGTCTGCTGGGGCTTGCTAGCGAGACGTGAGCTTTGGCGCGGCGTCAGCCCGTTTCCCATCGGGCGCTCAATGATGGTGGAAAAGGGGTTGGCGTCACGTCAAAACGTTCGCTCTGATGACACGCTTCAGGTGGTTCATGATAACGACTGCACGTAACTGGCTGAACTGATATCCCTATACCGATATGCCGGGCGGGCAGTGACGAGGTCACCCTCCAGCGTCCAACTTACAAGCCCCTCCATTTTGTTTTTCTTTGCCTTGTTTCCCAGTCGCAATGAACATACCTTTGAGTAAGGTTACGCAGGCGGCTTAGAATGTGACCGGCTCATGGATAAGACTAGTTCACAGGAACAAGTATCTGTTAAAGACACATGGTACGCTCAAACACATTGAGGGTGTATGAGACTATCAGCCCCCAGCTGTCGATGTGTCGTGGTCCCCCCGCCCAAACATGCCCAGGAATGGAGATACAGGACCGTGAAACACGCTAATTCCTCCATGCTCCGCCTTACACCTTTTTGCGGCGCAGATTCCCGTCCTTCATAACATCCGTCGTAAGCGCGCGTGTCGCGTGCGGCTCCTTGGCACTTTGCCAAGTCCTTTAAATGCGCTCTCAAATACGAGTAAAACGCAATTTCCTGATGCGGATAACATTGGAGGTGCTACAAAATAAGAACAGAAGATGATGACGAGGGCCAGAACTCAAGAGCAACTCGGCTGCATCTGCAGTATCCATCAGAGGCCGCGCATTCCCACAAAACATGAGAATAAAAACAACCCAAGCGTCCCACTCGTTTGTTCTAAAGATATATTAGGGCTTTGGCGCCGGTTCTGCGCACGGCCGCCCAGTAGGCAAAGTATACAGCGCGATTTCAATTAATTTCGCCCCTTTCCTTCGAATTTTTATTCTTCTGCTTGGGTTGATTTTAGCATTTACATCGTTGTGTTCATTTCTAGCCTGTGTTATTTCTTCATCTCTTGGGACATAGGATTCTGAAAGCCAATGTAGCCAACATCAAAAATGTTTATTCGCCCTCAAGGAACATTGCGTTTTTGCTTGTATCAAACTGAACGAATATGCGCGTTTTTATTCTTCGTTTTCGTGGCATATGCGCGCAGCCTCCGAGGGATACTGCAGAAGCAGCCGAGTTGCTCTTGAGTTCTGGCCCTCGTCATCATCTTCTGTTCTTATTTTGTAGCACCTCCAATGTTATCCGCATCAGGAAATTGCGTTTCCTTAGCTCCGTATGTGAGAGCGCAATAAAGGACTTCGCAAAGCAGTGCCAAAGGAACCGCCGACAACGCGCCGCTCACCGACGGAATGTTATGAAGGACGGGGAATTCGCGCCGAAAAAGGTAAGGGGGAGCATGAGAGGAATCAGGCGTGTTTCACCGGTGCCTGTATCTCCATTTCCTGCGGTATGTTTTGGCGGGAGGGAATTAGACGCATCGAACAGTGGGCTGACTAGTCCTCATACACCCTCAATGTGTGTGAGCGTACTATTTGTTTAAGGGCGACGTACAAATCTCAATTACCGGACAGTCTTGTTCGCTGCGGATGATGGGGCGTGTCAAGGGAACGTGTCAGTGAGGCTGCGCTGACTACGGCCTAAATCCAGCCTCGCTGACACGCTTCATCATGCGCAGTTAACAAGACTGTACTTTTACCACCATCCCGCACCTTTTTAAGACCAACTGTTTAGCATTTATGAGTCGATCGGCGCACCAGCCGTGATGGCTGCAGCCGCCTCAGAAGTCGATATCCACGGCGCTTCCTACGAGCCGAAGATTGCCGAACAGAACATGGGTCGTAGCAGGGGATCAGTGCTGGTGAGTACTGCTTGAGAAATAGAAATAGTAATGAGAATAATAATGAAAAAGAAAAGAAATGAAATTTTCAATTTCCGTGAAAATAAAGTTGTCATATACCGATTTCTTACAGAACGTTCTGGCACGTAATTTCAAGACCATCGAAAAGACAACACTCTACCTGGCCTTCTTCATCAATGTCATCTTGCTTTTCCATAGAGTTGAAATTAGGAACTCTGAACCTGGTAAGAATTCCGCCTCACAAGTTCTTCGTCCGTCAATAGTCCTGGCATATTCTATGTATGTCTTTCCCTCGAGGAATGTAAATTGTCCTATATAACACAGCCCCTATCACTGGAGTAAGTCTGGGGGTATCAACAATCAGCGTAAATTTCGGCGCATCGCCTGCCCGTTCTCCATCGATAATTACGGCTTCGAGCGTTCAATCAGTGAATTGTAACTGCTGGCGCCGCGCCAGGCCTGAGTTCCGCGGCACGCCCCGATCTACTTCAGTGAAAGCGACTGTAAGCAATCTCAAAGGTGCCAGAATCAAAATTTCGCCATTCCAGAGAAATCCGAAGTCGAGGAAGATGAGGAAAATGCTAACGAGATGGTGTTTATAACTGGAATGGTGGTCCCATACGTTGAGTACGAATTGACAGGCTGGGTGCTGGCGCAGGTACGTTTCTGGAGCAGCGTGTCCAATAACGTCCCAATCGCACGAGTCGCAGTGTTCCCACACAGTGTTCGTCGGTTTTGTGTCGGTTTTCCGGTTTCCAGGAATCCTTCGTCTTTTCCCAGAAAAGCACTGTCGAGCGGGTAGGGGGACCGCCATCAATCATTACTAATTTTTAGAATCGGATCAGAAGTAGTAACTGTATCGTACTTTGCACTTCGTCAAAACCTAGGGGGTGGGGAGAGGACCACGTACCCCACCCCTAACAGCGACTTCCCTGATGGGATTCTCCCAGCGATGCTGTATCCTGCTCGAATGACTGTGTTTATAACAACTGGACCACGATCTGTGGGCAAGCACATGCTTGCCGTAGGTGGACGTAACTAATTGTTTCCTTACAGGTTTTATATTGGATTAGTGTGCTCCACTTGACAACATCGTTCGCATTGCTCGTCTCCTTCTATCAGCTCAAAGTAAGTTCTGTATTTTAAGGTTTAAATTTGTCACCCGCACATATCCCTCGTTGTTAGAAAAAATCCAATGCTACAACAGAAAAAACTCAGTGCCGCAACATGCTCTTTGAAACTGATGACCAAAGAAAATGCAAAATATTGTGTGGAAAGGTGGTGTTTCCCGCAGCGGACAACCTTGTATCTGCTTTGCGGAAAGATGTTAAGTAAGGGCAGTGAGATGCGAAGCCTCCGTGGCACCTTTATCGCGATGACTCCATCTTCAGACTTCGCCTCTGAGGTCCGTCCCCCAAAAAAATGCCGAACTAGAACCTCATCCCAGTCAGGCTATCAACACTTGGCGTTGTTCGGCTTGGTGGGAGTATTCTGCTGGTTATCATCGATCACTGCCGATGCCTTGTGAAGGCCTGAAAATTACTGTGAAGCATTGAAGTAGAAAGAGCTTAGTTAACACTTGAAAAGAATCAGCAGGTTTCAGTAAGTAGAGAAGTGTAGGTTAACAGGAACTAGGTGATGTACAAAACGTTCCCCTCCCCTCAAGCCGACAGATCCTAGAGCTTTCAAGGACTCGTTCTCGATTTCAGATTCCACTTATTACCTTCAAACGTGAAAAAGAAGTGGCACGACGTCTCATGTTCGATGGATGCTGGATAACGGAAGAAGACAATGAGGAAGGCGGCGTAATCGACACTGCTCTTTGGTACTTTTTTTACGAATAGATTGAACAGCTTGCAGTAATATGTGGTAATCCGATTCAAACATTATCGTTGAGCCTCTCATACGTTAGAAGAGGGAATCAAAGAAAGAATAAAAAAACGTCGGAATCGCGGAAAAAGGGGGCGTGGCGCGTTACTTCCAACCCGCGTTAGGCACGAATTGGATGTTGCAACCGAGTGACGGAGGCAGCATTCACACCAAGACACAATCCACCCAATGTGGCGGTGTTGCGGGGGAGGCAAACAAGACAATCGTAATGAGGCAGACAATCGTAATCTATGTGCCCACTCGGTCGGCCCGCGCGCGACGGTTTGAGCTCCGCGCGCTTCCTCGCCGGGCATCCGTTTTGTCAATAGAGCATCGCAATCAGAAATTCTATGAAGACGGTCCGTGACTCGCTATGACCTGAGCAAATATTGAAATGTAGTATTACCCTAAAGTTCAAAGACAAACACCGACGATTGGTATACGTGGAAGTTTCGCTACAACTACCAAAACACGTCATATACTCAGAGTAGAAAAAGAGCCAACACACACGCAAAAATGGAGAGCCCTAGTAAAGAGCTGGTAGTCTCTCTGGACGAGTTCTCTGAAGCCGCTCGTTTTATGCCAGCAAAGCGATATCCTGTCACCTCTAGGTCAGTAACATTACTCCGCGTTGTTCCATACTAGTACCATCTAACAACGAGAAAAAAAAACGGAAAGCTCATTTGTAACTGAACGTGTGACAAGGAATGACCTTCACATTTTGGGGTTTGCGCTGCGTCAGAGTTGCCAGTCATTGAAGGTGTTGCGTGTCTAGAGGCTACGGAGTTGCTCAAGTTTGGGCTCTGTACTTATACACCGCTGCGACGAGCAGATTTTCTCTATGACCTACCTGCGGTGGACGGCCACCACTTTCCCTTGTTGAAAAATTAGAAGATTCTACATAAATGATCTGGTTTGAAATCGTGCTAAGAAATGCCTGAGAAAGAGGGGGATATGAGTCCCTGAATCTTGCGTCCAATGTAGTAAGGCTTGATTCCGAGGGTTTCCAAAGCGTTGGCTTCTTAAAACCAAGGTGTCGTCTCCTGCCAGGCTTTACGAATAATGCAACACGGCGTTTCTCACCTCTCTCAAATTCTATTGTCACCTCACTGCTCCCTCGAACTGCATTTTGTTGCCTGAGGCATCGTAGATTTACGCTCGGCTCGGTAGCGGGAAAATCCTTCAACGTCATCGAAGTTGAAGCAGAGGCTGCCGAACCTGCTCGCAGCACTTCGAAGCCGGATTATTATGCTTATCTGGGATCCAGTGCCTGAGAGCGCTTTTCGTGACAGCACGAGAAGCTTCACCGTTCTGGTCATTCGCTCGCCTACTAGACCTCTGCATGGCGAAGACGTTTCTTCCATCATACTGAGCCGTTTGTGCGCGGTGAAAACACTTGGCGCGTTTGGATCAGTTTCGCCAGTTTTCTTTGTGCTCACTGCGAGTTGAGCAGCCACAGTTTCTTGCAGTCCCTCGAAAAATGTCCACACGTTGCATTTGTAACATTTCGGCAGCTTCTTATGAAACGCGGGGCGCTTGGCCTGTTCCTCAATTTGGGTTGCAACACACCGGATGCAGAATACTGTTTATTCTTGGCTTTTGGACGAATCTGGTTTCTGCAGGGCTGCGTTCTCTAGAGGAGAGCGTCTGCAGCGATTTGAGTCATCCAGGTCGCTAGTAGCTGTCGCGCGTGTTGTCTGTTGCGTGGTCGCCCCTTTGCGCATGCTTTGACCATTTGTATGTCAACATCTTTTGGATTAAGTCCATTGCCGTGTAGAGCTGAAGATATTCTGGCTAATCGGATAGCTGTGCAACCAGTTCTTATGCTCTTGTGCGCGACAGCTCCTTTTCGGAGGCTCCAGGATAGGCTATTTGCGTGATTTTCTCTAATTCAACACAGTAGCTTGTCAGGTCCTCTTCCATGCGTAGCGTCTTCAGCTTCATGTAGGCATTTAACTGTGCGGAAGATTCGTTGTGTCCTGTGAATTTTCGCACAAGTCTCGACTATAACTTGTGAATCCAGCTTGTTTTCACAGATTTGGGAAAAGCATCGCCAGGACCGCAGCGAAAGCTCATCCATGTTTGAAAATTAACACTCGTCATTACGAGTCATAGCCCTTGATACTTTAACTTTAATTGGGCTAGAAAGTCCCAGAAATCTCTCCAGTTCGGGTCATTATACACACTCACGTCGGGTAGGGTCAGCGCAGCGAACATGCGAGCCATTTCAACCCCTTGTGAAGAACCCTAACGGAAAGTTAGTACACTCACCTTGGTGCCCTGCTGTCGGGATTATCCAAGGGGATTCCTTCTGCGTCTGCTGCTGCTTGTTCGTCTTTTCGAGCTGAATATTATTTATTTAGACCGGTGGGCGGCAATTTGCCATCGCCTCGAGACGAACTACATGATCACGCTGCTTACCTTGCGCTGCCGCGATGGGATCGAATGTAGCGTGACAGTCCACGTTTTCGAACTCGAACCGGTTAAGTTGTTCTGTTGCCGCGGGGTTCGAAGCCGCGCTTGACGAAGCTGTGCTCTGCTGTGGAACCTGGACTGATTTGTCTAAAACAAGTGGTCTCACTGCATTTTCTATCATATTTTTCTATCATATTTTGTTTCTACAATCTCTGACACTTCATCTACCACTTGCATTGTGTCCACTCTAGCAGGAGCGCTAACTCGCGCATACAGCTGTCGTCGTGTTCCGCTTGAGCCAGTATTTCTATTACCGACTCATTAATCAATTGATCTATCAGCGAGTCCACTGAATGTAGAGCTCGCTCACAAAAGTCAATTTTCGAAGCTCTCCTTCGAGAGTCTTCAAGTCATGCTCGAAAAGAGCACTCAAAATTTTCTCATCTCCCTGCCTCTTTTCCGAAGGGAAGTAGTCTTTTAAGCAGCTTACTATGGTTTTGGGTTTGTCTCGGAAGATTTGTTTTATCTAACATCGTATTACACACCCGACACCCGTACCTGTAAAGCATTTTTACATGCTAGATCCTTAACCGTGCCGACGAGGGTATCTAGAGATGCTTTCATTGAAGCAATCTGATCGGACCGGGTCGGTTCCTCTAACAGTAGACGCTCAATATCTGCGTCCTCCATAGGCATGTCGTGATCACTCATATCTGTTCTGAAATGTTGTAGTTAGATCGCCAAAATAAGATCTGCTTTCGTTCAACGCGCAGACGAAATCGCGAAATGTAAGAACCACAACACAGTGGTGAAGACTATAGCTAGAAATCAATGGGATCGAGGCTCGAGTCTGTGTTGCCAACTGTACAGACGAGCGTTACGAAATCCTATTGGACACCCTGTACGAGGCTGGCTATAGTCAATCGATATGGCTTCGATCGATTACGTCGAGGTTGCCCTCGAGGTAGCCTCTCACACTCGAAAAGTGTGGTTCTCTGCCTTCTATAAGTGGCAGGTACTCGCCTTCCGGTATTCCGGCTTTTGGCGGTTATCCAAGCTGTCGTGCTTCCTTCAGTTCGGCCCCTATTTCGGGGGCGGCGCGGCTTGTGTCTAGGAGTGTGTGATGAACACTGTCGGCAGAGAATGGAGGTTAGACAGAATGAGAGCTGACGACTCGGGCCGCCTTTATATAAGCGCTGAGCACGTGAATGCCCTTTGCGGGGTCCTGAGAAGAATTACAGTACTAAGTGAACTTGAGGAGTTTCGCATAATGAATA